TAAAACACACACACCAAAAAAAAAAAAAAAAAAAAAAAAAAACAAAAGCTAGTTATTGAAAAAAAAAAAAAAAAAAAGAAAACCAAAAAAAAAAAAAAAGAAAGAAAGAAAGAAAGAAAGAAAGAAAGAAAATTCATTATTACACTCTAAGCAAGGTTAATAAAAGAATCAGAAAGTTAATATACCAACTCAAATAATGGCACCAATGCAAAAAGAAAAATGTTGCTATAGAATGTTCTTTTAACAAAAAAAGAAGAAAAGGCTGAACATAAGAGAACACAAAATACAAAAAAGAAAAGAGAAAACACTAAAAGAAAAATCTAGCCAAAAGCTATTTAATGTTGTGCTACTTAAATGTAATTTAGCATATTACAAATGCTGTTTGCACAGCTTAGTATGAATATTTAAATAATGCAATCTGGAATGCTAAGCTAACACAGAAAAACACCAGAGGGGAAAGAAGGTTATAAAAGTACATAAATTTCTATCACAGAAGATTCTACTTGTCACATGAGTTACAAATTTAACAAGTATGTCTAAATCTTCTATGTAAAATCTAAGAAAGCTTCCACTTTCAAAAATTATAACCTTCCAAAGACATACCTCTTGTATGTAATTATTTTTCTCCAGGATGGAAAGAGCAACAGCTGCACACTCCAGTGTAGAAAGGCATCTATTAGTTGGCTGCATCCGAATTACATACTGACTAGAAATGCTAGTTTTTAATTGCACCTGAAATCAAAAAAAAAATAGAATAAAATTTTTGTTTTAAATTTAAAATTATAAAGTCTGTGTTTTAAATGCTGATTATTTTCCTTCCAAAACTACCAGCAGTTTAGAAGTATTAATTGTATCAATATCTTTTATGTATAACATCCTTTTGGTGTTGTTACTGTTAAATAGAAGCAAGAAGATAGCTTTATAGAAGAAGACACATCCACAATATATACAAACTACTACATATGAAAGTAAAGAGTGAATATACACTTCATAAAAGAAGATATAAGAATGGCAAATAGGTACATAAAAAAGTGGTCAACATGATCTAATATAAATTAAAACCACGTTAGGGTAACATTTCACACTCTCTAGAGTAGCTAAAATAAAAAAGACTAATACCACCAAATGGCAACAATATTTTGTTTTTTTGCTTGAAACTCTCATATATTTGTAGTGGGAGTGAAAATTACATAATGACTTTGGAGAATTATTTCACAGTTGTTTTGTTTAGTTGCATGGTTTTCCCTTCCATTCTTTTTTAAAGATGGTTTATTTATTTTTTATTTAAGGTTCTGGGGTGCATGTGCAGGTTAATTTTTAAGTAAACTGTGTGTCTTGGGGGTTTGGTATACAGATTATTTTGTTACCTAGGTAATAAGCATAGTTATTACCTGATAGTTTTCAATCCTCTCCTTCCTCCAACAGTACACCTTCAACTAGTTGCCAGTGTCTACTGTTCCCTTCTTTGTGTCCATATGTACTCAATATTTAGCTCACACTTATAAGAACACATGGTATTTGGTTTTCTGTTCCTATATTAGTCTGTTTAGGATAATGGCCTCCAGTTCTGTTCATGTTACTCCAAAGGACATGATCTAATTATTTTTGTGGCTGTACATTATTCCATTGTGTATACATACCACATTTTTTAATCCGGTCTATCATTGATGGGCATTTCGCTTGAATCCATGTCTTTGTTAGTGTGAACAGTGCCACAATGAACATACGAGTACACTTGTGTCTTTATGGTAGAATTATTTATATTCCTTTGGGTATATACCCAATGAGATTGCTGGGTCAAATGGTTATTCTATCTTAAGTTCTTTGAGAAATTGCCACACTGCTTTCCACAGTGGCTGAACTAATTTACAGTGCTACCAGCAGTGTATAAACATTTCCTTTTCTCCACAACCTCACCAGCATCTATTATTTCTTGACGTTTTAACAATAGCCATTTTGACTGGTGTGAGAAGGTATCTCATTGTGGTTTTGATTTGTGTTTCTCTAATGATTAGTGATACTAAGCATTTTTTCATCTGCTTATTGGCCACATGTATGTCGTCTTTTGGAAACTGTATTTTCATGTCCTTTGTCCACTTTTTAATGGGGTTCTTTGTTTTTTGCTTCTAAATTTGTTTAATCTTCTTATAGATTCTGGATATTAGACCTTTGTCAGATGCATAGTTTCTAAATATTTTCACTCATTCTGTAGGTTGTCAGTTTTTTGCATTGATAGTTTCTTTTGCTCTGCAGAAACTCTTTAATTAGGTCATATTTATTTTCTAGTATCCTCAAAGCTGTGTGAGTCTTTCACTTCTTTACACTATCAAAGCTCTCCCATCAGTGGTATCTTGTCCCTCAATCCCCTCTCTCCTTTGCATGACAGTCCCCAATGATGACAAATATGGTTCTTCTAGTCTGTGCTTTTTGTTCAAATAATTCACTACAACTAATATCATTTATTTCCTGAGGGAGAGGGGTTGAAAAAGGGAGAAACAAATTGCTACTGCTGCTATGTAGACATTATAAAAGAAGGCATTCAATTTTAGAATATGTCCTTTAAAGCAGATTTGACTAACAGTGTTTTAGGTATGATTATTCTGAAACTACCGTGCATTTCTACCAATGGGAAAGGTAGGAAAAAGATCTGGGAGGGGACAGAAATGGAAGAAAATGGTAAAGAAACATGTACAGTGATAAAAGCTAGCCTATGTTTAAATAACTCTAAGAGTAGTTTACAGTGTGGACTAAGTAATTACTAACAACTTTGATATTTCACCAAAGCAACTAGAACAGACTACAGTCAACTACTTCTTTCAATACTCAATTCTAAGTTTTTATTGGAGAAATTTATAACAGACATTTGATTACAATAAAATCTTTACATGCAAAATTCTCAGGTAATTTTGTTTACTGAAGCAAATTTGGTTTGCTATTTGAGGGAGGAGTTTTAAGGTAAGAAAACTCAGAATTTGAATCTCTCCAGAAATTATAATGAAACTAGATGTAGTAAAAGACTAAATCGCTAAAATATGTCATATTATTAACATACATATTAGATAATACCTTATTAATTAATCTTCTCACATCTCTTCCTTTTATGCTTATTACACACTTGATTCAGTGAGCAAATGAGCAAGGGCAGAAAGAAACCCGTCTAATCTATCTTCTTGAGAAGTCAGAGGCATCATAATAAATAATTTGTAAGAAATTGCCTTGTCTTCTTAACAAAAATTTAAGACAATCCAAGGCAAATTATTCTAAGAAAAAGAAAAATTAACCTATGATTAAAGTACGGTATTCAGAAAGCATCTCTATTGAAAAATAATTATCATTTCAAACCTGACAATAACTAATCAATTCACCTCAACCAAGACATTCTTTTCCTTCAGTTCCTCCTCAACTACAAAATAAGGTAGCTGGAACTGATGATGTCAAAATCTATCTTTTAGTGATCAATCCTAAAACTTGAAAGAGTAATCTTACTATGAAAAATTTGGAAGCCATGCTGACTCAATGAATGTTTCAGTAATTATAATCCTTTGGAAGTTGGTTCTCTACAAATATTGCAGGAACACAGATTCAGAAATTCAAATTTTAACCAGTTCAGAGAACCAATGGAAAAGATGTGAAACTAATTACAGAAATAAGATCTGGAAGAGTTGACTATTTCTAAAATGGAAGTTATATACAAACAATTTTAGTTTAGAACAGGCTGAAATAAACTTCCTTTTAGCAGCATCTTAAAGTCTTCGCCATTAAAACACACACACCAAAAAAAAAAAAAAAAAAAAACCCTCCTTTTTGTATCAATCTTATATCTACAGTCTTTCACAGCAAGATTCTTTATCTGAGCTTATAAGCTGCCCTTTGAAAGAGAGGTACTAAATTTTTAAATCTAGCTCCCATCTCTCAATACACTTCACCACTTCCATTCCCTCCCTTAGGTTAACAGTATGATGGGTAAGACTCCAGGTGTGCCATCAAATAGATGCCAGTTCTAACAAAGATGTATTAATTTATTACAAAGTTTCATCATTTACTGAACCCTAAATGCTATTCTAAATAATGAACATGTATTATTTAATTCTCACAAAGGCCATATGAAATAAGTACCTTCATTATCTCCATTTTACAAATGAGGGAACTAAAGCACAAAGAGAGGAAATAACTTATGGTTCCAAAATTAGTTATGTCAGAGTTGCATATAAATCTATTAAGGCTTACTCAAGGGCCCAATTTCATCACCAGGTTAATAACTAAAAGGATAAACTCTCAGACAAATCCCAGTATATTAAACAAATAAAAACAAAGCTGTTCCACTGGAAAACAAGGTTGAGGCACCCTTCAAAAAGTTTATAGTTCTGCTGATCCTAGTTTTAAAAACAATGGTTTAGAGTGAGGGGTCTTCTCTTACACAAGTATAAAAGTGGCACATAAACATCAGTATCTATGTCCTGCTCCAGCTTTGTCACACTATGAAACCTAAAGAAGTTTTTATAAAAAATAGAGATTCCAGAAATTAATGTTGAAACTCAGAAAATGTGATAAAAATCAAGCTTCAAATGGTCTTAGTTGCAGATAAAATGGTAATATTAGTGCTATTTCTCCAACACAATATTGTTTGTTTTTTTATCTGGATTGGCTTTATCTGCATATCTTAACAGTTTCTATGGAAAATAATATTTCCAAAATTACAGAAAAGAAACAAATGTAGAATACACTTGGTTTAAAATTCAGCTCTTCTTTATATAATCAGGAAAATATAATGAACAAAAGAAATGAAGCTCCAGTAATGAACCCAAAAGAAAGGAAATCTATAAAATGACTTACAAAGAATTCAGAATAATTCTTTTGAAGAAGTTCAGGGGACTACAAGAAAACATGAACAGAATATTAAATAAATTTTGGAAAGCAATTTATGAACAAAATGATAAGTTTGACAAAGAAATAAAAACAAAAATAACAGAAATCCTACAGATAATGAATACAACAACTGAAATGAAAAATTCAATGGAATGCTTTAACAGCTGACTTCATCCAGAATAAATAGTCAGTGAGCTCAAAGATAAGACATCTGAAATTATCCAATCATAGGAGAAAAGAGAATAAAAAGAGAATGAAGAAGGCTTATGGAAATTATGAGACACCATCAAACAAAGTAATCATTAACAACTTTTAACACAAAAATTTAAAAGTTACATAATACTCCTCCAACATACAAAAACTTTAATGTTAAAAAATACAAATACATCATTGAGGAGTCTAAATATTAAGCACTTAAAAACTTCAAATTTGAGTAACTCTAAGGAATAATACAAAATTTAAATTCTGTTAACTGAGTTTATTTAGCCAAACATCTTAACTACTAGGTTTTACTGTTAATACAGTATTTAATCTCTACTAATTTCCGTAAAACTCCATGTAACCCATCTGAAGTCACTGGGAACTATGGGTATGGAAATATATCCAGAAGGAAGAAAAACGCATAGATTCATAAGATCACAGGATTGGAAGCAATCTTTAGAAGTAAAATTGTCCAACTTCTTGGCCTTAGGCATAACTATTTTCAAAAAATGTGGATTCACAGAAGTAATCTAAAGTTTTAAATAATAATAAATAATTTCAGAATTATTTCAGTAAATTAACAAAACATTATGCCATAAAACAATGCCTGAAAGATGTCACTAGAGATTACAAGTAAGCCTTTGCATTACTTTCTGCTGCCCCGATTCCTTTTGTCCAACAATAGCTAATGAAAACAAGTCTCTGTTGAACAATGCTACAGAAATTAACTTTTATAATATCAACTGAAATTAAATTTGTCCAACTGGAGTGTGTTAACATGTATGCATTTTTCATATTGGGCTTTTATTCACTTTATTAGGTCATACTGGGTCAATTTATTCCCTTTATTAGAAAATTTAAATTAGAAAATAATTTAGGATTTTAGAAACTGATTTATTAATACTACTGTTGCTTAAGTAATAACCAATTTAAAATGTCTTGCTAGTCAAACATATTCTACCAAAAAAACTTCATTTAACTATGGGCAATTCTATGAATTTCAACAGCTGTCACGGCTTCATAAGCATCTCTTGAAAAATAAATGATAGACTAGCCTGGGTGTGAAACTCAACACATATTATACAATTACATCATCATCACTTGCCAAATAAAATTTTTATTTTAAAATTTACTCTGAGCTGGGCCCAGGGTAAATGGTTCATGCCTTAATCCCAGCACTTTGGGAGGCCAAAGTGAGAGGATCGCTTGAGTCTAGAGTTCAAAACCAACCTGTGCAATATAGTGAGACCCCCATCTCTACAAGAAATTAAAAATTAGCTAGGTGTGGTGGCACATGCCTGTAGTCCAGCTATTTGGAGGCTGAGGTGAGATGATCACGTGAGCCCAGAAGCTCAAGACTGTGGTAAGCTACGATAGTGCCACTGCAATCTAGCCTGGGTAAAAGAGCAAGACCCTAGTTCTTAAAATAAAGGAAAAAAAAAAAAGAAAAAAAAACTACCTGAGTTAAACTGCATGCTGTTTCATTCTACTAAGAACATCTATATCTTATATAACATTGAATAAAAAATAATGTGTATGAATTGGGAGAAAGAAAAGCATAGCAACTATAAGCAGGAGATCTTACGTTAAACACACCTGAGTTGAAATCCCCAAATAGTTTAATGATCTCAAACAAGTTTTTTTGAATTCTCAGACCCAAAACATTAATAACCTTAAAGGGTATATGTGCTTTAAGGAGCTAATATATGTGAAGTGCTTAGCAATGCCCAGCATTACAGTAAGCACTCAATACTAGCAAAAATATTGATGTAAATGATACTGCTGATGCTGATGTTAATGAGCATGATGGTAGAGTGATTTGCAATGTGTTCTTCACAGTGTAATGAATACATGTGAAGCAGCTCAGCTTTACTACATAAAAAGTCAGACAAAATAGTCATGGGTATAGGATGAGATTGAACTGAGGACAAAGTCAAAAGAATGTCAGCTTTTACAAAAGGATGGAAGAATTAAAGCTATGGAATAGGTAGACAGAAAGTAATCTAAGCAGTAGGAGAAACAAAAGGGAAAGATTTTACTGAATAACAGAGAAGAAAGAGTTACTTGGCCAAGTAAATATTGCTAGAGTTAAAATGCTGTCACTGTAGTTTTTTTAATAAAAGGTATGAATATTTTCATTAAAGAAATATTTTGAGACAAATAAAATTTTATTTTACCCTTTTTACCCTTTAAGTACATGGTCTGAGCATCATTAAAATATGCAATACTCACCAAAGTAACTAGATCTTGTATTTCTATCTTTAGATACTTCTTTAAAAACATTCCCAAACAATACAGACAGAAAAGAGAGACCAAGAATTCACAATAATTTTTGAAATACTTTTAAAATAAAAAATTTTCATTTCTTGACTGAGTGTTTATGTTGTATCTACCTGTTTTTAATGTATTCTTTTATCCTCCTCTACCTCTGCACACGTATAGCATGTTTAATTTATTTAGTGATAGTAAAGTGGCAGAGAGACATATGAGATAATTAGTTCCTTTGAATAATATGCAGTACGTGACATTTAATTGAAAAACCATGGGTTGCCGAGTAACAGAGCTTTGAAAACCCTGGCTTATTTATAACTAATTGTTTGACTCTTCATGGACAACAACTGAACCAAATATGTAAAATTATAAATGTTTACATGTTACTGTCTCAATAATTATTCTCTGTACTTTATTTTTTAAATAAATTCTATTTTGTACATTTAAGGTATACAATATACTATGGGATATGTATAGATAGCAAAAAGGTTACTGAAGTGAAGCAAATTAACACATCCATCATCTCACAGTTACCCTTTTTTAATTTTTCTAACAAGAACAGCTATAATCTACCCATTTAGCATGAATCCCATATACAGAACAATTTTATGACCTGTGGTCCTCATGTTGTACATCAGACCTCCAGGCTTGTTCATCTTACATATCTGCTACTTTGTATCCTCTGACCTACATCTCCCCATTTCCTGCCCCCTAACTCTCCAACCACTATTTCATCCCCTGACTCTTTATATTTGATTTTTTTAAGATTCTGCATATAAGTGAGATCATGTAATACTTTTCTTTCTATGTCTGGCATATTTCACTTAGCATAGTGTCCTCCAAGTTCATCCACAGCAAATGGCAGGATCTTGTTTTTTCTTTGAATAACATTCCATAGTACATATGTAACACGGTTTCTTTATCCATTCATCTATTGATGGATACTTAGGTTACCTCCATATCGTCATTGTTGTGAATAATGCTGCAAGGAACATGGGATTGCTGATACCTTTAGAAGATGGTGATTTCCTTTCCTTCAGGTATATGCCCAGAAAAGACTGTATATACGGTCATATGGCAGTTCTAGTTTTAATTTCTTTAGAAATCACCATCCTGCTGTTCATAATGGCTATACCAATCCATATTCCCACCAACAGTCTGTACCTTATTGAATAACTTTATAAAAAAAAAAAACAAAACTAAATAAAAGGAGACATATACTATGTTCATGGAATGGAAGACAATTCTGGAAAACTGATTTATGAGTTAATGTAATCTCAATAAAAATTTGGAGAGATACTTTTGGGGGATTTCACAAAGCTGATTCTGAAATTACGTTAATGCAAAGGGTAAAAATACCAAGATACTCTTGAAGAAAAATACAGAAGATTTTGCCCTACCAGTTAGACCTATTATAAAGCAACATTAATCAAAACACTATGAAACTGGCACAGAGGAAACCAGAACAATAGAAGAGAATTTAAAGCACAGAAATATATTTTCACATATATGCAAAAACGATAAATGCCAAAGATAACATTGCAAAGCAGTGGGTTTAAAAATGATTTTTTTTTAGTAAATGGTGGGCAGTCATATTGCAGGGGTAGTGAAAAAGTGAAACTACAACCATAGTTCACAATAAACACAAACATCAATTACAGGATGATTAAAGACAAATGTAAAAGGCAAAACTCTAAAGCTTTTAGAAACTAATCTAAGAAACTATGAGAGATAATACAGACAACACTAACCATGAGAAAAGACTGAAAATTACAACCACATTAAAATCCCAAATTCCATTTATCAAAACACAATCAAAGAAAAACAGTGAAAAGACAATCAGAAAAGATAGTAGACATTTGCAACTTACATAACTGTGAAATGGCTCAGAGCCAGAATACATAAAGAATTCTTAGAAATCAGTTAGAAAAATAGCCAAAAAGCTAAAAGAAAAAGTGGTTAAAAGATATATACAGGCACTTTAGAAAAGAGAAAATCTAAATGACTAATAATATAAGGGAAATGAAAATTTTACTACTACATATTAAAATATTGGCAAAAGTTTAAAATACCTGATGTCATCACGTGTTAGAGAAGATAATTTGCATTCATTGTTGGTGGCAGTGTAAAAGGTTACAGTTGCTTTAGAATACTTTGGTTAAATCTAGTAAAATGGAAATGATGCTTAACCCATGACTCACTTATATTATAACTGAGAGAAACTCTTGCACATGTGCACTGGCATATATCACAAGAATATTCATAGCAACACTTATAACAACAGCCCCAACGTGAAAACAACCCAAATGCCCATTAACAATAGGCAATTATGATATATTCACATAATGGGATATTATACAGTAATGACAATGAACAAAGTATGAAATGGATGAATCTTAAAGACATAATATTGAAAAAAGCAAAATACAAGAAAGTACACATAACATGGTTCAATTTATAGAAACTTTAAAAATAGGCAAAACTATATTATTTAAAGGCATATACATCTATTTAAAAACAAATAATTACAATAA